ACTAGATTTTGGACAGGTATTCTCGATTAGTTTAAGCACCTACAACTTGGTGAAAAACGTGAGCAGTAGATAATTTGGAGTCAGAGTATTTGCTGTGCATGATTTATGTCTTCACTGAGCTGATGGAATGTCATAAGGTATTTAGCTAGAGGTGAAAGGACAATTGCCATCAATTAATTTATCCTTCCAAACACATTGCAAATAGTCTTTTCCTTTCAAAGCAGATATTCATTATCAAGGAAATACTCTCATGGAAATGAAACTCTTTTTTCCTTCCAGGCTCTCTCTCTCATCTTTTTTGGGTCATTATTTGGTTCTGACTCAAGATTCTGTGACTGGTTAGTCCTGTAATTTAGCAAAGAACATTCCTCTTTCAACCTGAGTTTTCTTGGATGTGATCATATTACTCTTATGAGGTATAGAGGCTGGTTTTCGTTAAATTGTAGAGTACTTGTTAGAACTAATTTTCCAGATTACACCCACTGTCATTTCTGGAATCTAAATTAGCACCCTAACTTAGGGAACCTGAAGTTAGGATTTGGAGCCTGGGCTCCCCAGAGACCCAGATAAAAGTAGTAAAATGATAGGAGATATGAATGTGAAGATTCACAACTGAAGTTACAGCTTCATACTCAGTAAAAGGTATAGGGAAGTTGTATGGACACAGTCTAGTAGGGGTCTTTAGGATGGGCAAATTGCCCTGTGTACCTTAGTAGCTCTTATATTACTGTGCCATGTTGTCTTCATGATGGCTTCGAGTCCTAAGAAGAGGTAAAAATAACGTTTGATACAAGTTGTTTCAGGAGCAAAGGGATATGATCGATGTTAAATGGTGTTAAATGATGATGATAAATTTTAAAAAAGAGTTGATGCATAAAAAGGCATGTATCAGTTATTTGGGAAAATTCACTTAAGTATAACATCTTATTTTCCCCCAAAAGTTGTTTATTGTGGACTGACTATATGAATTATTGGTTTAATACTTAATCCTTTAATTGAAAGCATCAGTTCAGTGGTTTTGCTTGCGTTGGACTCATCTCTTAATGTTTTTGTAATTATATTTCAATAGGAACGTATCAACGAGTGTGATGAGAGATGTCTTTCAGTTTTGTCAACTCTTTTAGAGGCGCTAGAGCCATGCAAGAATGTGCATGTTCTTCGAGCAGGATTGCGGTGAGCACTTCTTATGCTTTCTTTTTTTTAAATTCATTTATTCACACGTGCATACATTATTTGGGCCACTTCTCCCCCCTTCCCCCTCCCTCTCGCCTCCCACACCTCCTCGCTTCCAGGCAGAACCTGTTCTACCGTTATCTCTAATTTTGTTGAAGAGAAAACATAAGCAATAATAAGAAAGACAAAACGTTTTTGCTAGTTGAGATAAGGATAGCTATACAGAGAGATTCCTAGCATTGCTTCCATGTACAAATGTGTTACATCCCAAGTTGATTCATCTCTACCTGACCTTTTCACTAGTTCCTGATTCCTTTCTCATATTGACCTCTGTTGCTTTAAGGTTTATATATTAGTTCCTCTGCAGTGGGGACATCAAATACTTTCGTGCTTTGGGTTTCTCACTTATCCCCACACCTCCTGTATGTGCTCTCCCCTTATCATGTGACCCAAGTCCAACTACATTGCTGTATTTGCCCTAGATCTAAAGTCCACATATGAGGGAGAACATATGATTTTTGGTCTTCTGAGCCTGGCTAACCTTGCTCAGAATGATGTTCTCTAGTTTCATCCATTTACTTGCGAATGATAAGAGTTCATTCTTCTTCATGGCTGAGAAAACTTCCATTGTGTATAAATACCACATTTTCTTTTTTTTTTATTGTTTTATTATTCATATGTGCATATAAGGCTTGGGTCATTTCTCCCCTCTGCCCCCACCCCCTCCCTTACCACCCACTCCACCCCCTCCCTCTCCCCCCCACCCCCTCAATACCAGCAGAAACTATTTTGCCCTTATTCTCTAATTTTGTTGAAGAGAGAGTATAAGCAATAATAGGAAGGAACAAGGGTTTTTGCTGGTTGAGATAAGGATAGCTATACAGGGAGTTGACTCACATTAATTTCCTGTGTGGTGTTTACTTCTAGGTTAATTCTTTTTGATCTCACCTTTTCTCTAGTTCCTGGTCCCCTTTTCCTATTGGCCTCAGTTGCTTTTAAGGTATCTGCTTTAGTTTCTCTGCGTTAAGGGCAACAAATGCTAGCTAATTTTTTAGGTGTCTTACCTATCCTCACCCCTCCTTGTGTGCTGCTGCTTTTTATCATGTGCTCAAAGTCCAATCCCCTTGTTGTGTTTGCCCTTGATCTAATGTCCACATATGAGGGAGAACATACGATTTTTGGTCTTTTGGGCCAGGCTAACCTCACTCAGAATGATGTTCTCCAATTCCATCCATTTACCAGCAAATGATAACATTTTGTTCTTCTTCATGGCTGCATAAAATTCCATTGTGTATATAGATACCACATTTTCTTAATCCATTCATCAGTAGTGGGACATCTTGGCTGTTTCCATAACTTGGCTATTGTGAATAGTGCTGCAATGAACATGGGTGTGCAGGTGCCTCTGGAGTAACCTGTGTCACAGTCTTTTGGGTATATCCCCAAGAGTGGTATTGCTGGATCAAATGGTAGATCAATGTTTAGCTTTTTAAGTAGCCTCCAAATTTTTTTCCAGAGTGGTTGTACTAGTTTACATTCCCACCAACAGTGTAAGAGGGTTCCTTTTTCCCCGCATCCTCGCCAACACCTGTTGTTGGTGGTGTTGCTGATGATGGCTATTCTAACAGGGGTGTGGTGGAATCTTAGTGTGGTTTTAATTTGCATTTCCTTTATTGCTAGAGATGGTGAGCATTTTTTCATGTGTTTTTGGCCATTTGAATTTCTTCTTTTGAGAAAGTTCTGTTTAGTTCACTTGCCCATTTCTTTATTGGTTCATTAGTTTTGGGAGAGAATTTAGTTTTTTAAGTTCCCTATATATTCTGGTTATCAGTCCTTTGTCTGATGTGTAGCTGGCAAATATTTTCTCCACTCTTGGGTGTTTCTTCAGTTTAGAGACCATTTTCTTTTGATGAACAGAAGCTTTTTAGTTTTATGAGGTCCCATTTATCTATGCTATCTCTTAGTTGCTGTGCTGCTGGGGTTCCATTGAGAAAGTTCTTACCTATACCTACTAACTCCAGAGTATTTCCTACTCTTTCTGTATCAACTTTAGAGTTTGTGGTCTGATATTAAGATCCTTGATCCATTTTGAGTTAATCTGGTATATAGGGGTGATATACATGGATCTAGTTTCAGTTTTTTGCAGACTGCTAACCAGTTTTCCCAGCAGTTTTTTGTTGAAGAGGCTGCTTTTCTCCATCATATATTTTTAGCTCCTTTGTCAAAGACAAGTTGGTTATAGTTTGTGTGGCTTCATATCTGGGTCCTCTATTCTGTTCCACCTGGTCTTCATGTCTGTTTTTGTGCAGTACCATGCTGTTTTTATTGTTATTGCTTTGTAATATAGTTTGAAGTCAGGTTTGTGATACCTCCAGCATTGTTCTTTTGACTGAGTATTGCCTTGGCTATTCGTGGCTCTTGTGTTTCATATAATTTAATGGTAGATTTTTCATCTCATTAATGAATGTCATTGGAATTTTGATGGGAATTGCATTAAACATGTAGATTACTTTTGGAGTATAGACATTTTTTACTATTTGATTCTACAATCCATGAGGCATGCGAGATCTCTCACTTTCTATAGTCTTCCTCAGTCTCTTTCTTCAGAAGTTTATAGTTTTCCTTGTAGAGGTCGTTCACATCTTTTGTTAGGTTTACACCTAGGTTAAATGCCACATTTTCTTAATCCATTCATCAGTAGTGGGCATCTTGGTTGTTTCCATAACTTGGCTATTGTGAATAGTGCTTCAATAAACATGGGTGTGCAGCTGCCTCTGGAGTAACCTGTGTCGCATTCCTTTGGGTATATCCCCAAGAGTGGGATTGCTGATAATGGCAGATCTATGTTTAGATTTTTAAGAAGCCTCCAAATTTTTTTCCAGAGTGGTTGCACTAACTTGCATTCCCACCATTCTTATACTTTCTTCATTTGTGTGTGTGTGTGTGTGTGTGTGTGTGTGTGTGTTTTTCCTGTTCTCTTACACTGAGAATTAACAATTGAAATGAAAACTGATCTCCTTTTTTGGGGAGTGAGGAGAAGAGAGGTATTGTTGGTAGTTAAAGTATTGACTTAAAATCCTGACTCTTGATGAGATAAAGCTGGAAATAATACTTTTTTATAAGGCCTACCCTATAAAAAGGTATGAGAACATCAAAATTAAATGTGAATTGTGGTGAGGTACAGAACCAACAATTATATTCAGTTCGGAATAGTTATTTGGGCACTATGCAGTGTTTGCATGACACTGGCTCAGCTTGAAAGGAAATTATAAAATTGAAGTAACTAATCTAACATCATAGATTATTGAGAATAATACTTAATTTCTTTTCTTTGTTCACTATTCATAGGAAATCTTACTATTTGTTCATAAAGTAAGAGAAAGTAGTGGCCCTGGATCTTTAAGTAACTGCTTGTACTGTATTGAACAGGTACATCTCTTACGGGCTTCATATTCCTTGCCCATGAGAAATAGGAGCTGGGAAATTGAAATGTTAAGAATTTCTCTTCTGGTGATGGAAATTCTAGGATTGTGATATTTATTTGTTTTAATGACAGGATACTAGTGATCAGAAAGTCTGGAAAATAGAACATGTCTTCACATTACAGACTGTGATGAAATATATTGGAAAAGATGCACCAATTGCTCTTAAAAAGAAATTGGAGGTAAACACCTGAATTTTTTCTAGTGGGTGAGATTTGAAAAAGTATTTCTTATGACTTCACTTTTTAAAGTCAATTTTTCTTAAGAGGACATTGCTATGCTTTTGGGCTTAGCTTTGCTAAAGTAAATTTAAGATGCACACGTATATATGTATATAAATATGTATGTAATATGTATATATATATATGTGTATATGTATATATATATATGTATATGTATATGTATATATATATATGTATGTATATATATATACATATACATATATATATAAACACACATTTACCTATTTGTCTGGGTCATTTTTCTCCAGCTTCATTCTTTTTATTTAAAAGTAAAACGACTTTTCCATGAATGCTAATTAATTTGTTTTCTTTAGATGAAAGCCTTGAGGATTTGGACAGCTTTTCGCTTTGAATAGCCAGCGCATGTTGAGGTCCTGGCTGCTATGGATCACCGTCTGTTGTACTCCTGAATGAGTGCAGTAAGGTGGTCATAGGTAAAGGGATTTTTCCTTTCATGACTTTCAGCCTCTGACTTCTGTTTTCAATTATATTTATTTTATTGTTTGAAACTTTGCTTTTATATGAAGAAAAACTGGTGTAGGGGTTGCAAATAAATTTTATTTTTTGCCTGTAGTTTCTTTCTCCTTTTTTTGTCTCCAAATACAGTGCTGTTATTTTTTTTTAAACGAACAAAAGTATCGAGCATATGAATGTTACATTCAAACCACCTGCTAATTTTGTTTATCTAAATTATTCTAAAGATAATATCCACGGTGTCCTTTTAAAATATTGATCAGCATCTTGCGGGCCTGCAAAGACCTCAGATACGTAATTCAGATCTCTTTAAGGAATAGCAGATTATGTGGCTACAACTTTTGACATCTGGAAGTTGAAGGAAGTAAGTGTGTTCTCAGTTGTGGTATAGGCCTCAGAAACTTTCAAGTAGCATATTAATCTCATTTGGCATTTTAAGTATTTTTCTTCTGCTTTATAGCAGTTAAGATATCAAAATATTCCAGTGTTAACTTTTGAAAAATTAGCTCCTTATTATTCTTTCTAAGGGTTGCTTATTAATATATGCTAACACACTATTCAATATTTTGATCATTTTTCTGTCTGAAATAAAATATTTTGGAAAATATAAAATATTTTCCAAAGTTGGCTGGTTTTCAGAAGGTTGTTTGGATCTTGGGTTAGATATGAAGCATTGTTTATGCTCTTTCCTTGTTACATTTTGAAAAATAAAGATAGTGTGACAAGCTTACAGTTTTGAAGAATAAAATGTTATTACTCCATGACGTCAGTCAGTTGTTTCATTCCATAGTAAAAGCTTTAAATTCAGGAGTGATGTTTAGTAATGTAAACATCTAAATGAAGGAGCTGGTAGACCTTTCTTTTCAGGTATGTAGGTGATAGCTGTGGTAAATCACTAGTTTCAGTTTAATTTAGAGGTAAGATGAATATTGAGTTTATTAACAAAAGTTGATTTTGGAAGAGAAAAGTAAATTGTGGTAAAGACCAAGAGGGAAATTGAAGGTGAACTGGAAAACTTTTAATCTTATTTTACTTATTCACTCCATTCTCACTTTTAGAAATTAATATAGTTATAGAAACTTTGAGGAATCTCAGAATCTAGGAAGTATCTAACTTTGGATGTGGGTGCAGTTTGAGATTGATTTGGACATTTGGAAAACTTCAAAAAGGTGTATTTAAAGGTAATTTAAGATCTGTAGTATGTATGAAAAATTGTAGGAAATTTTTAATTTTCAATGGAATGGAAGTACAGAAGCCATAGTTACTAGTTGATTGCTCATATAACTTGATATGATTCAAGAATTAGTGAAAACAGATTCTGTGAGGAAAGATACTCGTTCCTTTAGGAGTATTCTGTTGATCAGCACAGTTATATTGCTGCTTTTGAGTCTAAAAAATTGTAACAAGGATTTCTCTGAATTTACTCTTTTTTAAGTCCTTTTCTTCCTCAATTTTAGTTGGAAAACCTTTGCTTCGACCTGTTGGTTTGATGACTTGTTTATGAAGAAATAGTTGGCAGAATCTGAATCCCTAAATGTGAAAAGCATTGTTCTTATTCTTCACGTGTATTCTTCTCTCATCATATCTACAAATGGCCAGAACAAGAGTATGTACTCGTTTTTGCTATTTTGTCACATGACTTTATAAAGATGATTATAAATTATTAAGCTTAACAGATAACAACCGTGAACCATACCCATAGGCCATGTATCCATGTTGGAAAAACAATAACTAGTTGTTTTCTTACTCATTTAGTGAAGTTACAATAGAAATTTGTTTTATTTCTTCTGTTGTTTTGCTTAGTTCTTGTCTTTAATGTATTTATTCACTGTAGGTTGTTCATTGGCAGTCTCTTAGCTTATCGCATCAGCTCTTAGTTCATAGTTCATCTTTCAAAAAATTTTTTTGAAAAGTTTAGAAAATGAGTTCTTTAAATTTTATTTATTTATTTACTTTTCTATGCCATTATTGGGCTTGAACTCAGGGCCTGAGTTTCAGGTATGCTTAAGCCACACCCCTAACCCTTTGGTGTACCGTATTTTTTCTTTTAATAGAGTCTACATTTATGCCTGGGCCAGGCTGGACCCTGATCCTCCTATTTATGCTGTTTATGCTTCCTTACTGGGGATGATAGGCATGTACAAGCCATACAGCTTTTTATATTTTGATTGAAATGAGTCTCTTGAACATTTTGCCTGGGCTGACCCT